TATAGGGTTGTGAATCTTTGGAATTCTCTACTCAAGAGGGTTTTGGATGCTCCACTGTTGACTATATTTAAGACTGAATTGTGCTGTAATCTATCAAGGAATCAAGGGATCTGGGGTGCAGGCAGAAAAGTGGAGTTGAAGCCAAAGATCAGCCATGATCATACTGAATAGTGGAGCAAGTTTAATGGGGTGTATGATTTATTCTTGCTCATACCTCTTGTGATCAGTGTGGTATAATGTGCCTGCATGATTTTAACTTTACTTCCTATAGTGTTTTACATGAAATAATTGAAAAGCCAAAGTAAAAGTGTCTGAATTAATCTTTTTTGTGCTTACATGTGTTACAGAGCCAAAAGATGATATGGTGTACCAATTTATAACTCCTTGGATTGGTAAGTATTTCCAGCATCGTTACAGTTTTTATTGTGATTAACCATGGGATGTGAGTGTTGTGCAAAATTCATACAGCCCATCCTTATTTGCCTGGAGAACATGGTGGTGAGCCATCTTTTGGAATCATTGCAGTCATTGTAATCTAGGTGCACTCACTGTGCAATTAGCAAGGGTGTTCCAGGTTGTTGACCTATTGATAGTGAGGGAACAGCAACATAGTTTCAAGTCAGGATGCCGTGTGACTTGGAGGGGAGTTTGCAGGTGCTGTTACAAATATATGAACAAGGAGCAAGAGCAGGGGCAACTTGACCCATCAAGCCTGCTCTGCCATTCAATAAGATCATTGCTGATCTGACTTTAACCTCAACGCTACACTCCTTCATAACCCCAATAATCTTTAATCCCTTGATAATCATGAGCCTCCATACCACTGCCTTAAAAATATTTTAAAATTCTGCATCCACTGCATCTTGAGGAAGGAAATTCTGTAGACCCACAAAACTTTGAGAATGGAAGCTCACTTCTCAGAGCTGCAGGCCCAGTAGGAGTTTCAGTGGTCCCAGCAATGTCACAGGTAGAAGTGGCTGCTGTTGTCAGTACAGGATGAAGAAGAGGGAACCTTCATTGTTAAGGTGGCACTGAAAGCCAGACAATGTTATTTTAAATTTACTGCACCAGGGCCAGATTGACCAGCCCCATTGACAAGAGAAGTGAACCTTCCAATGCAGTGTTGGAGCTATTAGGATGGCCATTTCTGCTGGGGAGTCCTCTTTGGATTGTGGATCAGTCATTAGAATCATAGAAACCCTACAGCGTGGAAGCAGGTCATTCGGCCCATCGAGTCCACACCAACCCTCCGAACAGTATCCCACCCCAACCCCCACCCCCCACCGCTGCATTTTCCATGGCTAATCCACCTAGCCTGCACATCCCTGGACAGTCAGCATTTCTTAGCCTTTCACCAGTAAAAAAAATTGTCTTAGATCCAAAGAAAGTGACTGTATATTTTCTCGTACTAACTCTTATCTGTCATAGCTTTATCTATTCACTTGGTCTGTCTTGTAACTTCATGCTTCCTTGTTAAGGAATGTTTGCTCTCTCAATAACACAACTTGATCTTTTTCATTTATGCCTGAGTTAAGTTTAATCTCATCATTTTCATGTCAAAAGTAACACCTATGATGGTACAGCATTTCCTTAATTGTTCTGACTCATGGTGAAATGGGAGTGGTACTTGAGAAACAGTGTTGTTCCCACAAGAATTGAATGGTTGTATGGAAAACTGCTTATACGTAATTAAAAATCGTTTGGATAAGGAAAGGCAGAAATCATAAAGCACTGTGGCCTCGATTTAGTTGGAAAACCTAGAATTGCTTATTCCTTCCATTATAAAACGACTAATACTTCATCTGATTAAGTCAGACTAAAGGGCTAAACACAATTTCTTTCCTCTATAGCCACATGAGCCAACTCAGTTCTAGCTACATATTTGATTTTTGGAAATGTTGTCTCTTTGGGATAAAATTGAGGAGACACACTTCCTGATCAACAGAAGTTTATATTTCTTAATTCATCCAAGTGTCAGCATGCGGTACTTGAATGTTAATGATCACTGCTCATGGCTTACAGTTCCCCAGCAACCACCGTCTTCCTCAGGTAGCTACTCCTGTTTCAATTAAAAAAAACATGAGTAGGATTTGAACCTGGAGGATATTTCATCAATGCCAAGTCTTATTCTTTCATCCAAAGTCTGTTCACCTCCTTTTTGAATATGAGTTACTAGAAATCATTTGGGAGGAACAGTCCTGAATTATTCCCATCCCTAGCACAAATGCTGAGACCAAATGTAATGCTCAACAATTGCCCAGCTACAATCAACTAAATCAGCACAGAAAAACAAACAATTAGACTTGGGACTTTTTTGCATTTGTAGGTTGGTACTATGCTTTAATCATTATTTTTTGGGAGGAGGAAGATTTCTAAACACAATGTACACTAAATGTTCAAGGTTTTAAATTAGTGGAGCATGTGCCAAAGGAATGGCATGAATATGTTCTAAGAAAATTATATGCTTTTGTCAGTCAAGCCTGACTATTGTGTTGTAGTTATTCATGAGTGTTTCCTGCCTTGAAAACTTCACCCAAGTGTAATTCTAGCTAGCAATTATTTGTCATAATAGTCACCATCATTTCTAAGTAAATCCTGTTCCCATCTGGCCTCGTTGCAGTTGGTATAATACAACCAAATTATTATTCTTTCTGTGCTTAATCTAAGGACACTGAAGCCAATTGTAGTGCTTGATCACCAACCCGACTGAAAATCAACAATTTCCATAGAGACCAACAACTGAGCCACACCGACTGCATTCAATTCATAAATAGCACATTTGCGCATTTAGTCACTGGAAAAATATAGGACAAGGAGCTGGTGATTTCAATTAAAAATTGAATTCAATTAAAAACCTCACTTTAAGTTACCCCATTTTAAATTGTTTCAACTTAACATCATGTCTTTAATAGGGCCGGTATTTGCCGTTCGTGTTGTAGATTCGCGTTAATATTGTTTCGAGTGACAGAATCATGTTTGGTGCCATTGTGGCATGGCCCCCCTAGCTGGCTAGTCCTGAAGAAGGGTAATACCCAAAATGTTGACTGTTCCTGTCCTCCAGATGCTGCCTGGCTTGCTGTGTTCTTCCAGCCTCCTGTTTGTCTACCTTGGATTTCAGCATCTGCAGTCTTTTTTGTCTCTGACCAGTCCTCCTGCTGCTTTCTAACTGTCCTCTTGGTGGCTCCCTTCTGTTTTCTGACCTTCCTTTACCTCCCACAGGCTCACTCTCCTAATTATCCCTCCAGTTTGCTAACCTCATGCTCACCAACACTCCTGCTGGCCTGTCTTCCCAGCTATTGATCCTGCTGCATTTTACCCTCCTGTTACAAGATGATCAGAGGATTAGATAGGGTGGACAGTGGGAGCCTTTTTCCTCGGATGGTGATGGCTAGCACGAGGGGACATAGCTTTAAATTGAGGGGTGATAGATATAGGACAGATGTCAGAGGTAGGTTCTTTACTCAGAGAGTAGTAAGGGCGTGGAATGCCCTGCCTGCAAAAATAGTAGACTCGCCCACTTTAAGGGCATTTAAATGGTCATTGGATAAACATATGGATGATAATGGAATAGTTTAGGTTAGATGGGCTTCAGATTGGTTTCACAGGTCGGCGCAACATCGAGGGCCGAAGGGCCTGTACTGCGCTGTAATGTTCTATGTTCTATGTTCTATGTTCACTACCTCTCTCTCTTGCAGTTCCCCTCCATTACTCTGCAACTCAAAGTTGCTCTCACTCTGTAATTTGCCATCTGTCTCTTGCCACTCGTGTCTTGAGCCCTCATTCACAGCACCTTTCGGGAACACAACTGCAACACTAATGAGGAATAATTGTATGCAGTTTGACATTTATTGATATTAAGAAGTGATATCTTTGATTCCCAGGTGATGGCTTACTGGTGAGTGCTGGACAGAAATGGTTCCGCCACAGACGACTGTTAACACCTGGGTTTCACTATGATGTTTTGAAGCCATACGTAAGACTGGTTGCGGATTCCACCAAGATCATGCTGGTATGTTCTTTTCAAAAATCTTTAGCTCATTATTATTTCATTGTTCTGTTCTGGGTTTTCTTTTTAAAAAGTACCTTAGTTGTTTTATGGTTCAATTTTCCAGTAAGCAGTTATTAATTTCTGCTGGCAGGAAAGAGATCATTTCAGTGCAGCAAGTATACTCATTTATTGCACTTAGAACATATTTAACATATATTGATTACATCCTGGATAATCAGAGTCTACCTGTTGATTTGTGTTTTTTTTTCAGCTAACTAAGATAGACAGTTAACAATTACGACTGCATGACCATGCCATGCATGGACCAGCCAATCACCACATTCTTCCCATACTGTATACATTGATGTTCCCTTTCTTTATTTGGTTACTTGCCTGTTAGTCCAAATAAGTATCAGATGAGAAGTTTCAACTTTTAGTAATCCCTTTTGCTTGCTGTATTGAACAGTAATAGTACCTGAAAAAATGAATGTTGCTGTTGAAAAAAGAACAAGGGACATTAATTTTTTGAAATATAAATTGAAAGTAAACCTCACCATCCCCATCATCGCTCATAACTCTTGAACCACTTGAAAAACAACTGAGCCCACTCCAGCTTTACAAGTGAAAATAAGCAATGCTTAAGGCCAAATTGGATAATCCCTGAAAATGGGTGCATTGATCAGTACGTACAATGAGCTCATGTATATAATACAGGTTACATAGCAACTTTGTGCTGCCTACTTGATTGAATAACTGCTGCATGCATGTTTTTCAATAGCTGAGTACACCAGCAGTGGGCATATAATAGTAACATCCTGCTGCACTTGAAGCAACCTGCAGTTATGAAAGGGAAGGTCCTTTGAAGCAGGTCATGTAGTAAGCAAATCTTTCATGTGAAACATTGAGAAATGATACAACATAGGAGAAAGCCGGCTCCAAGGTTTACATAAACTGCACATTGAGGACTTGGTAGAAACTATGGAAAATAGGAGAGGTTCCCGTATCTACATAGTGCCCACCCACAAGGGACCACATTGAGCAGCATGGTGGCTCAATGGTTATCACTGCTGCCTCACAGCTCCAGGAACCCAGGTTCAGTTCCAGCCTTGGGCAATAGTCTGTGTGGAGTTTGCACGTTCTCCCCATGTCCCACATCGGTTTCCTCCCACAGTCCAAAGATGTTCAGATGAGGTGGATAGGCCGATTGTGCCCAGGGATGTGTAAGTTAGGTGGATTAGCCATACTGCAGGACAGAGAATAAATCAGGAAATAATCAAGTCATGAAAAAATGGCATTGTTAAAACAAGAATGATAGGTGATTTTAATCTTCATGTAGATTGGGAAATTCACTTGGCAGAGGTAGCCTGAGAAAGAATTTATAGTGCATTTTTTTAAAAACAACATGTTGTGGATCCATCCAGTGATCAGGCTATTTTGGGTCTGGAAAGTTTAACAAGGAAGGTTTAATTGATTATCTTAGATTAATGTTTCCACACTTTATGGATTCTAAATGCAGTCGGAGCTGATAGCATGGAGAGCTAGGTGTCAGACACTCACGATCTGTTTGTCATACCATAAGAAGTTTAATGATATCGTACAAGTGGTCAAGTTCAGTGAAGACACCTACCAACTGCAACACTGGCCTTAACCATTGCTCAAATTATCAGCATCCTGTCTCTCGACTGCCAACAGTTACAATGCATTTATATGCTTTGTCACACCTCAAATACTTAGCATTTTTACAGGCCTCACACCCACATCTGTCAGCTTGCATACACTCCCAGTTATACAACCATATCAGCCACATCAGCAAAATAGATTGCACAGTCTTCACTGACAGGTTTGATGTACTTACAGGGCAAGGTGAATCAGACCCAACGTCAGCAGAAGTAAACTGGAAGGGGCTGGCATACTTATATGTCTTACCTCTAATGGACCATTAGTGGCGTGTCCATTGTTGAGACCATGGACTGCAACAGGACTGAAATTATCAAAATGTCTTTGTAGCTAATCCTCCCTGTCAACCCACTTCCTCCTCATCCCACACTTCATTCTGACTTCCAAGCTGCTGATATTGTGTGTTTGTGTGTGTGTGTCTTTCCTTTCCTTTCCTCTCCATCACCAGCTCCAGCCACAATGTTATCCTTTTGCCTTTTCCTGTTAGATACAAAGTACATTCTGAGCAAGGAGCAGAAGAACAGCAAGAAGACGGTGCATCCTCATTTGCACTATCAATTTGATTACACACTCAGCCACCCGTTCAAATACTGACACAATTTATTTCAAGAATAGTAGAGGTGACATGTGCACGTGACTAGACACTGAACAGGGAGCCAGGATAACATAACTACGGGTTTTATTACAGAGGACGTAGATGGGGACTTCAAAGGGGAAGGCTGTATAAGAATGCTGATGTTAAAATAACTTCACAGAGGCTGGTATCCATCACCAAATCCCCCTCTGTGTGCATGTGCTTAGTACTTGACACTGGTCCGGCTTCCTCAGCTCTCAGAGTGAACAGAAGCTCTGAAACTCCTGTTTATGTCTGTCAGCCAGGGTTTCCTGATTGGACCAGATTAAGAGCCCCAAACAGGGAATTCATATTCCATGGCTGACCTCATTATTATCACTATATCCTTCCCCCTCTAAGTCCGGGACATAGCCCAGTTCTGGGGTTTTTTTGCAGCGTGTCAGGTTTCTCCAACTCAGCCTTGGATACAGGCGGCATGTATCGGACCATAGCCAACCTCTTGCACCTGGAGCATCTCGGAAGAAATTCATCCTCTTCTTCAGGTTGCAGCATCCACCATGTTCATCTCAGGCTCCAAGCTTTCTTTGACACCAGATGGAGGGGGAGAACTCACACGTCCCTACACTTTCCAGATGTTCAGAGGGGCAAGGATGTTTTGCTCCTGTCCCATTTGCGAGTTTGTAGCATTCATGTGGTCCACGTGTTTGTTCAGGACTGCCCCCATATCTTTTAATACAATCAACGAATGTTGCTGCATCACACATCACAATCCCTGAGTCTCTGTTTGCAGCAGTTGTATGTTAGTTTCCAAGAAATATGACCGGATGTGAGCTTGTCATAGCTTAAACTGCAGACATACAACTAATGTCTTTGATTATTTTGTTATTGGGTTTTCATGTATTGCTTTTTGCTTGCTTTCAACATCACTGCTGGAGCTCACCAGCATGAAACTTTACCCAATTCACTTCAGCATAAAGCATTTAAGTGTTCCTACCCCTAATAATCCTGACTTCTCACTCAGTTCTGGAAATGTAAGGCTGCATTTAATAAGAGACTGGAGAAAGAGAAAGTAGACAAAAAAGGCAAATAAAAGAAGTAATGCATTTTATTTTTTTCAATTGATCAATATTCCCTTTAATGTTTACTACGGGTTTCTTAAACGAGTTGAAAATGAATTTCTTTGTCTGTACAGGATAAATGGGAACAACTTTGCACAAAAGAAAACCATACACTGGAGATCCACCACCACATCAGCCTAATGACATTAGACAGTATTCTGAAATGTGCCTTCAGTTACCGTGGCAACTGCCAGATTGAAAGGTTAGCATTTGAAAAGTGTTACAAAATAGTTTGTAGTGCAGCTTTTTTCATAATGAATTAGAATAAACACATTACGTGCATATATTGTCCTTCACATAATATTATATGTTATTTGTAACAAATTTGATTAAATGCTCCCTCTAATGACAGCCCTGCTTTAATAGGCAAGAGGCAATTATCTTAAAACTTTTAAACATTGTGAGTTGCCATGATTTAAACATAGACCAATATAAATTAATAATTAGTTTATAAACCTCATTAGTGCTGCATTTCCTGCACTGCTGAAGGTAGGTGCAGATAATGCAGTGGCCCCTGTTTATTAGTTTGTTTGTCTGTAAACAACACATCTCCAAAACCAGTGGACAGATTTCAATTAAATTTGGCACACAAATAGTATATAAGTAAAGGAAGAATTGGTTAACTTGGTGAAGATATACATACATCTGGATCTTAGAACCTTTTAAAAGATTCATTAACAGTTTTAGAATGTTGGGTGTTGTTTCATTTAAAATGCTGTTGATTATTTTAGTATGTTAGAATGTATGTTAGAACTATGTATGTTAGAACTGCGTACAGTTCTGGTCGCCACATTACCAAAAGGATGTGGATGCTTTGGAGAGGGTGCAGAGGAGGCTCACCAGGATGTTGCCTGGTATGGAGGGCGCTAGCTGCGAAGAGAGGTTGAGTAGATTAGGATTATTTACATTAGAAAGACGGAGGTTGAGAGGGGACCTGATTGAGGTCTACAAATATAGACAGGGTAGATAGCTAGAAGCTTTTTCCCAGAGTGGGGGACTCAATTACTAGGGGTCACGATTTCAAGGTGAGAGGGAAAAAGTTTAAGGGAGATATGCGTGGAAAGTTCTTTACGCAGAGGGTGGTGGGTGCCTGGAACGCGTTGCCAGTGGAGGTGGTAGAGGCGGGCACGATAGTGTCATTTAAGATGTATCTAGATAGATACATGAATGGGCAGGGAGCAGAGGGATACAGATCCTTGGAAAATAGGCGACAGGTTTAGATAGATGATCTGGATCGGTGCAGGCTTGGAGGGCTGAAGGGCCTGTTCCTGTGCTGTAATTTTCTTTGTTCTTTGTTCTTTGTTAGGGATTGACTGAGCAGCTGTGGTGGAATTTGGCACTATAGTCAATATGTTCAGAATTTTAGAGCAGATTGTTGGGATGCTTTTCATAGGGATGGAAGCTTTTAATACAAAAGATTTATTTTCTTACCAGCTTTGTAGTTACAGAGCACCACTAGCCAGGGAAAAGCTTCAAGGAAGAACTGTATAATTTAAAAAGATTGAGTTAATACTGCTTGACACAGGAATGGACTCCACTGAGTTCTCACTTCCTTTGTGTAATCTGTGTTGGTTAAAGGTCTTTGTGAAAACTATAATACTGCTCTGTTTAGGTGCAGCAATGCTTATTGACTGACCAAGGTCCTGTGTGCCAAGGAGATCCGAAAAATCATCTAACTCAAGATTGAATCACATCAATTTTCAGCTGTTCCAAGTGACTGCTGAAGATGTTCATCTGACAATTTGCATTGATTTGGGAAGATTCTGCCCTTTCTCATAATTCTCTCATTTATATAACTTCAATTCAACCAGATATTTAGGACTGGGTATTGTCCACTGAGGCCCAATTCAGCTCCATAGTATGTATTCCAAAAGGTGGGATTTTCCACCCAGAGGTTCAGGATGGGATAGAACTGGGTAGACTGAACCTGTAGGCAGCGGCTAGGTAGCCACAAGTGTTTCAAAGGTGGGTGGGGAAGGGGGGTTGTTGCTGCTTGGAGTCGTCTCTTGGTTCTATGGGACTTCATCTAAGCTGTCATAGATGTTGTGAAGCCCTGAAACCCTCACCACTTGCATCCTGTCATCTGCCACCCACCCTCTGCAGCTCATCACACCCTTTTGAATGCTTAACAATGCCCCTACTCACCACACACCCATGACCCCAATACCATCCATACTAACCCATGCCACCCACCGCTGACCTTATAGCCCCTTATACTCTGCATGCCACCTCCATAGCCAATGACCTTGTCTCCACCATAGACAAATATCATGTGGAAAAGAGGGAAAAACAAAATGCTAACAACCTAATACAACTCTCCTAACCACAGGGCTTAGTGAAAAAAAATCATTCATCAAATCCCTTGAAAGCTTTTAAATCTCCTCACGTTGTTAACCTCTCATTAAACAGACAAATGTCTTTTCAGTCACTGCCATCACAGCTAATCCTCATTGTCTCTTTAAGCAATTGGTAAAATATTGAACTCAGAAACTTTTTATGAGATAATTGTAGCTTTGAAGCTCCATCAGATATTTGTAATGAAGTAGTAAATCTTGAGAAAATGTCAACAGAGAGCACAATTAAAACTGTACAATCAGATGCTAATTTTTTTTTTCAATGACGGCCAATCAAAGCAGTCCAGCAGAAGGAGTTTACTAAAACTTTCATTGTCAACTGGAGCCCAATTGTTTTATGCTTAAAACAGGGCATTTAAAATAAAAACTCATCATAACAATTGCATTCACATTATCAGTCCTCCAGGAATAATCAAATCCACTCCATTCACTTGTGTCTTTCTAAGTGCAGGTTAAAGTCCAGGAACCAGCCAAAATGAAGATTTGCTGCGACTCAGCACTGAGTTCAAATTGCCCTACTGTGTTCAGACTGCACTTCTGTGGGAATCATGCATCATGCACTTTCCCCTGTCCACAAAAAATTAAATCTGCCAGAAATGGAGCAGTGGGGGCACAGGGCAACTCTGGCATCTGGGGTGCTCTTGCTATTTTTAAGTGTTACTTTTAAAGTAGGGGGTGGATTTTGGAGAGGGTTTACCTAGGTATACAAAGCAAAATGATATGGCAGCATTGCAAAGTAACTATTTAGTTGACGATAGCCAGGGTTGGGAGAGAGAGTATAAATTTTAAAAAATGCAGCAAATAAGATCAAAAAAAGAAAAAAGCTAATAAACGTGCAAAATTAATGGCACATTACATTCAGAACAAAATAAATGAATTAATGACACAAAAACAGGTTAATGGTTACGATCACTTGGCCATTGTCTAAAAATCGCAACAAGGAGATCAAAGCTGGGAGCAAAATTTTCAGGGGGATGTGTGATTTTTCAAAAGGACAGGCGGGAAGGAACGGGTGATGGAGATCATTTTGCTAGTATGAGATGGAATATGTAAAAATGTAGAAATGAAAGATATAGAATCCATATTGGTGGAGATCAAAAACAATAAGGAGAAGACACTATTGGGAGTGATCTATACACCCTCTAACAGTAGCTATACTGCAGGACAGAGGATAAATCAGGAAATAATCAAGTCATGAAAAGTGGCATTTTTAAAACACGAATGATAGGTGATTTTAATCTTGGTGTAGATTGGGAAATTCACTTGGCAGAGGTAGCCTGAGAAAGAATTTATAGTGCATTTTTTTAAAAACAACATGTTGTGGATCCATCCAGTGATCAGGCTATTTTGGATCTGGAAAGTTTAACGAGGAAGGTTTAATTGATTATCTTGGATTAATGGTTCCTCTAGGGAAGAATGATTATAGCAAGGTGTGATTTAATGTTTGAGAGCGAGAAGGTTGGGTCAGTAAACAACAGGTGTGAAATTTATATAAGGGTAATTATAAAGGAATGAGGGCAGAATGGCTGGAGTTAACTGGGAAAGGCGTCTATCAGAAAAAGTAATTGACGAACAACGGCAGACATTTTAAAAAGTAGTTCATGGCTCACAACAGAGATAAATTCTACTCAGGAAGAATGATTATGGGTGGGGGATAAACTAATCATGTCCAAATAAGAGGTAACACAGTGTGGAGCTGGAGGAACACAGCAGGCCAGACAGCATCAGAGAAGCAGGAAAGTTGACGTCTCAGGTCCAAAACCAAGATGTCAACTTTCCAGCTCTTCTGATGCTGCCTGGCCGGTAACACAGTGTGGAGCTGGAGGAACACAGCAGGCCAGACAGCATCAGAGAAGCAGGAAAGTTGACGTCTCAGGTCCAAAACCAAGATGTCAACTTTCCAGCTCTTCTGATGCTGCCTGGCCTGCTGTGTTCCTCCAGCTCCACACTGTGTTGTCTCTGACTCCAGCGTCTGCAATTCTTACTATCTCCATGTCGAAGGAAGTTCGGGATAGTGTCAAATTGAGACAGAAACATACATTATGGGAAAAGATTAGTAGTAAACTAGAACCTTGGGAACAAAAAGTTTAAAAACAACAAGAGACCCAAAGCGGGAGAAAATAAACTTCAAGGGTGAACTAGTAAGTAATATAAAAAAGGACAGTAAGTGCTTCTTTAAATATATTAAAAAGGAAGAGAAAGAACAAAATGAACATAGACTTTTTAAAGAATAAAGCTGAGGAAATAATAATGATAATGATAGTAATGAACCAGGAAATAACAATGAAATTGAATAAGTACCTTGCTTCAGTCTTCACAGTAGAAGATACTAATAGCATTCCAAAAATACTGAATAGTCAAGGAACAAAAGGGGAAAAGAAATAAACACAACTACCATGAGAGAAAAGATTATTAGGGAAACTAATGGAACAAAAGGCCTATGTATTGCCAGGACCTGGTGGGTTGCATCCTAGAATGTTGAAGGAAGTAGCTACAGAATGCGCTGATAATAATCTTCCAAAAGTCATTAGATTGTAGAAGAGGTTGGAAGACTGCCAAAGCTACACCCTGATACAAAGAGGGAGGGACATAGAAACAGTTACCTATAGGCCAGTTAGCTTCAAGTCTGTAATTAAGAAAAGGTTCAGGTCTTAGAACTTAGAATCCCTACAGTGCGAAAGCAGGCCATTTGGCCCAGTGAGTCTGCACCGACCCTCTGAAGAGCATCCCACCTACACCCTATCCCCATAACCATCATAGCCAATCCACACATCCCTGGACACTATGGGCAATTTAGCATGGCCTATCCACCTAACCTGTACTTCTTTGCACTGTGGGAGGAAACCAGAGCACCCAGAGGAAACCCATGTACACACAGGGAGAATGTGCAATCTCCACACAGTCAAACCTGGGTCCCTGGTGCTGTGAGGCACCAGTGCTAATCACTGAGCCACCATGCCACCTCTTTTCTCTCCCCCCACCTCCACACTGTTGCTCCCCCCACCACCAAGTCTATTATAAATGATGTAATAGCAGATGTTAGAGAAGTGCAAGATAAATCAAGAAGAGTCAGAATGGCTTCATGAAGGGCAAATAATGCCTGACAAATTTATTAGAATTCTTTGAGGAGTTAACAAGCAGGATAAAGGGGATCTAGTGGACATAATGTGAATTTTGTGAATTAACTATCCTCGCTGCTAAATTCTAGCCATTTCACCCTCATTCCTTCAAAATTACCCTTATCTAAGTTTTGCACACTTTCTTTCTGACTCAAAGTGATATCTGGATTTTCAAAAGGTATTGTTAATGGGCTGGATATAAGGCAACTTAATAAGGTAAGAGCCCATGGTGTTGGGGACATTATATTAGCATGGATAGAGGATTAGCTAACTAATAGAAGATAAAGCTGGAATAATGAGGGATGAGGCATGTTCAAGATGATAACTATAACTAATGGAGTGCTATAGGGATCAGTGCTGGGCCACAGTTGTTTACAGTTAATATTAACTTGGATGAGGGAAATGAATGTACTATCACTAAGTTTGCAGACGACACAAAAATATTTGGGAAGACAAATAGTAAGGATGACACAAAGAATCTACAGAGGGATGTAGACCATTTAAGTGAATAGGCGCAAAAACTTGGCAGATGGAATATAATGTGGAAATTTGCAAACTTATGAGCTTCCACAGGAAGAATAGAGGAACTGAAAAGTTTTTATATGGAGAAAGACTTCAGAATGCTGCAGCACAGATGGACTTAGTTTTCTTCATACATGAATCACACAAAGCTCATGTACAAGTTCAGCAGTTAATAAAGAGGGCAAATGAAATGGTGACCATTATTTCAAAGGGAATGGAGTATCAAAAGTAGCTAAGTCTTGCTAAAACTATACAAAGGCAACAGTTGGATCACACATGGGATATAGTAAACAATTTTTTATCCCCTATCTAAGGAAACATGTATTGATTGATTGATTGATTTATTGTCATGCATACCAAAGTACAGTGAAAAGCTTTGTTTACAAGCAGTACAGGCAGATCATAGTAAGCAAGGATGCGCAGATCAAAAAGACTTAGACAGAGGCATACAGGTTACATTGCACAGGGCGTAGGCTAGGCAAGATCAATATTAACAAGATCAGTATTATTTGAGGCTAGAGAGTCTATTCATCAGTCTAATAATGGCGAGGAAGAAGCTGTTCCTGAACCTGCTGGTGCATGTGCTAAGTCTGCCTGATGGAAGAGGCTGTAGGAGATCATTACTGGGGTGCAATGGGTCATTGATGATGTTGGCAGTCTTTCTGCGGCATCGAGCTGTGTAAATGAAGTCCATGGATGGAAGGTTGGCTTCTGTGATGGTATCGGCTGTCCATACCATCTTCTGTAGTTTCTTACGGTCCTGGGCAGAGCAGTTGCCATACCGTTGTGCACCCGATCATTATGTTTTCAATAGTACACCTGTAGAAGTTGGTGAGAGTCCTTATGGACATGCCAAATTTCCTGAGCTGCTTAAGAAAGAAGAGGTGTTGTTGTGCCTTCTTGACCATCACATCTCTGTGGGAAGTCCAGGACAGGTTGTCGGTTATAGTCACTCCGAAGAACATGACACTCTCCACCTTCTCAACCTCAGCTCCGTTGATGTAGATGGGGGTGTGTTCACCTTCTTTCTTTCTGAAGTCAATGATTAGTTCTTTAGTTTTGCTGACATTGAGAGAGAGGTTGTTTTCATTGCACCATGTCTCCAAGCCCTCTATTTCCCTTCTGTATTTTGACTCGTTGTTAGATATCCATCCCACTATGGTAGTGTCATAAGCAAACTTGTAGATGGCGTTCATTCAGAATTTGCCAACACAGTCATGGGTGTGCAGGGGGTACAGTAGGGGGCTGGGAACACATCCTTGGGAGGTTCCAGTGTGGAGTGTTATTGTGGAGGAGTTGCAGTTACCTATATTCAGTGAATGCAGTCTGTGGGTCAGAAAGCTGAGGATCCAGTTGTAGAGGGTTGAGCCGAGACCAAGGTAATGGAGTTTCGAGATCAGTCTGGAGGGAATAATGGTGTTGAAGGTGGAGGTGTAGTCAAAGAGCAGGAGTCTGATATGAGTGTCCTTGTTGTCCACATATTCTAGAGATGAGTACAGGGCTAGGGATATGGTGTCCACTGTGGACCTGTTACACAGGTAGGTAAATTGTAAGGGATCGAGGCAGTCTGGGAGACTGGAGTTGATGTGGGCTATGACCAGCCTGTCGAAGCACTTCATGATTATTGAGGTCAGAGCTGCTACTCGGTCGTCATTAAGGCACATTGCATGTGTTTTCTTGGGTACAGGGTTGTTGGTGGTCTTCTTGAAGCAGGCGGGGCCTTTGGTAAGTAGGAGGGAGAGGTTGAAGATGTCAATGAACACCTCCACCAGTTAGTCTGCACAGGATCTGAGTGCTTGGCTGGGGACACTATCCGGGCTCATCGCTTTTCTTGGGTTGACTCCCAGGAAAACCAATCTGACATCTGCAGCGGTGTTTGAGGGAACAGGTGTGACTGGGGTTGTTGGGACATTCTGCTCAAACCAAGCACAGAAAGCATTGATCATGTCAGGGAGGGATGTGTCTTTGTCAGCTATCTTACTCTGCTTCATTCTGTATCCCGGAACATTGTTTAGGCCTTGCCATAGAGAGCGGGTATCTGTTTGGCTGGTTTAGGCCTCTAACTTGGTTCAGTATTGCCTTATGGCATCCCTGCTGGCTTTGCGGAGGTCATATCTGGATTTCATGTATTGGTCTGGGTCATCCAACTCGAAAGCTGCACATCTGGTCTTCAGTAGGGAGTGGATTTCCTGCTTCATCCAAGGTTTATGTTTGGGGAACACTCGGATTGTCTTCTTTGGCATGCAGTCCTCCACGCATTTGTTAATGAAGTCGGTGATGGTGGTGCTGTACCCATCTAGGTTTTCCACTGAGTACATGAACATGGTTTGGTCCACCGATTCCAAGCAGTCCCAGAGATGGTCTTCCACAGCCTTGGATCAGCACTGTACTTCCTTTTGTGAAGGATTCTCCCGTTTCAGCTTCTGCTTGTAAACTGGGAGGAGGAACACAGCACTGTGATCGGATTTTCTGAAGTGTAGGTGGGGTATGGAGCTGTAGGCATCTTTGACGGTTGTGCAGCAGTGGTGCAAAATGTTCGGTCCGCTGGTGGGGCAGGAGATGTGTTGTTGGGACTTTGGCAGCACCCACTTGAGGTTGGCTTGGTTGAATTCAAAAGCCACAGTGAATAGAGCCTCGGGGAATTTTGTCTCTAGAGTGTTTGTGTCGGAGTAAATCACATCTAAGGCATTCTTCACATCTACACGGCATGGTATGTAGACTGCTGTCAGGGTGGCAGATGTGAACTCTGGTGGTAAGTAGCTGGGACGGCATTTTACTGTAAGGTATTCTCGGTCCAGGGAGCAATGGTTTGCCAGAGTCGCTACGTCCAAGCACCAGGAAGTGTTGATCAGGAAGCAAAACCCACTGCACTGTCCATTGGAAGCAGTGCAGACAAGGCTCACTAACTCAATCTCAGGTATGGAGGGATTGTCTTATGAGGAGCGGTCAAGTAGGTTGGGCCTATGCTCATTGAGTTTACGGGAATGAGAGGTGAACTTATTGAAGAATATAAGATTCTTAGGGGGCATAAGAGGGTACGTGCTGAGAGGAAGTTTCTCCTTGTGGGTCACATTAGGACCAAAGGACATAATCTTAGAGTAAGAGGTCACCATTTAGGGCAGAGGTGAAGAGACATGTCTTCTCTCAGAAGGAAGTGAATCTGTAAAGTTGTTTACAGCAGGGGGCTGTTCAGGCTGTATTGTTAAATATATTGAAGGCTCAGATAGGTTTTTATTCAGTTAGGGAATCAAGGGTTATGGAGAAAGGGCCCGAAAACATAGTTGGCCTTCTTCTTCCTGATTCCATGAAATCCAGCCCTTGACCTCAAATTATGACATCTATACAAAAGCCTAATTCTTCTACAGCATTTGCTTCACTTATAATCTGTATCCCCTTAATGTGAAGCACTGTTATCAACTTCAGAACTATCAACAAAGCAGTGCCTCTGATGGAGAGAAGGTGCGCATCAAGTCCCAAATGTTGGTATATCTGGTCATGTGACAGGGAAGCCACAACAATTCTCAGACACTGCCAAAAGGAAACATCCGTATAGGCCCAGGACCATAGCCTGAATCCCAGGGGTGAATCATTACAACCATTTTTTGTGGTGATGTTTCGACAGAAGCCCTGTCTGCCCCATTTCTTTATTGCCAGCCTACATCTGTACTAGCATAAAACATACACACGTAAAATTGAGTAGCATAGAGTTAACTTTGTAATTAATGTTGGTACCAATAATATTTATCGCTGATTCACGTAACACTATACATTGAGAATGGACAACTATTCTTTGACTGCTACTTAATCACATTTTGCCATTTGTTAAAATAAATCTATTTAATGGGTCTAAACATAAAACCAAATTCTGAAAGAATAATGCTTTATTTAGTGATCTCGGATAGTCATGATCTAATGAAAGCAATTCGCATACAGGGATTTCTATTTCTCCTGCTTGGTCATTTATCAAAATCGATCTAGATCTGTACAGTAAGGTCAAGATGTTGGAACACACATGGACTTGGAACTTGCCCAGCTGGTTGATTTAAAATTGGAATCAATATAATCCTGAGTAAGAAGGATATAAAAGTCCCAAAACCTAACAGGGGAGGGTGTGCGCTTCCTTGAAATTCTTGCGGATAGAATTTCAAAACAGCAGTATACAGAAGATTGGACAGGCTGTTAGAGTCAGCAAGCAAGTTATTTCCTGCAGAATTCCCACCCTAATACCTGAATGAAAGATGCAGTTTGGTCCAGCACAATTTATTTGGATTTCTAGCTCTTGATGGTCATGTGTCAGAGCCATTCAAAGAATAATATGCATTATAACATTATAAGCACTGGGATTTTAGATGGAGGTAAATGGATGAAGGTATCATCATAGTGATTTCATTAGTCCCACTGGATTGTTCGTTATACTATCCAAAGAGGCATAAAGAATACTTCTATGGTCATAGGCACGACATTCAAGGAGAAGTTTTTAAACTGAAGTTCTATTTGTACAAGTTTGTTTTGACTGATTTCTGACAAATCCAAATTAAAGAAAGAAGCTCTGCGATAAAATTTTAACAGTTGAACTTCAGATCCTCATGCAAAGTCATAATCTTTTAATGTTGTTCCTTTGACAATTGACCAAGTCTAGTGATAAAAGAGTAATTAAGTAAATTCTTCTGCGAATTTCTTGTCAAATTTGGAGTCCTTCTACTGAATGTAACAGTTAAATCAAATAAATCTGCTAGTTTAAAATGTTGAAAAGTAACGAACTGATAATTCTCTACTTTCCTGATAGACAGGGAAGGGAATAAAACTGAGAGAAGTGCATCCTCCCAAGTATTTTCTTCTATAAATGCAAGTTATTCCTGATGATAATTAGTATTGTTTGAATACTAAAGGTTTATATAGGCATCCAACATTCTGAAGTCAGCAGAGGACCAGATTCTGTCTTGCTCTTGTGTGACCCATACAAACAGTCACAGATTATTTTGTACAAGCCAATGAGGAGGCAATGACAACATTCATTCCCCAATCTGATATCACTGCTAGAAAAAGGCAGAGGCCATTTCCTAAAGAGTCAAATCGTATTCCTTATCCCACTTCCCGCAACAAACCCACCCCAAACCCTGGAGATGGGCCTCAATCAGAGCAGGAGGTAAATTCCGACTTAATAACTTTGATCCTTGTTGAAATTACTGCACAGTCCAATCATTATTCACAAACTAATGAATATCAAATGTGATGTCACTATAAACTTTTAACTGATGATATTTTAATTGTATGACATGTAACTGTGATTATGAACTAAATTTCATGGACTCTCTCGATTTTCCAGTGACAGTTCATATATCAAGGCTGTGTATGAGCTCTGCTTCCTTTCCAATCAGAGGTTCAGAACCTTCCCATATCACAGTAACCTTATTTACTATCTGAGTCCACATGGCTATCGTTTTCGGAAAGCCTGCAGCTTGGCACACCACCACACTGGTAAGTGTGAGGAAAGTGGCACAGACGAACAATGATCAATTCAATTAGGTTCATTGTGAAGTTTGTCCAATTTAGTATGATGCCAAGTATTGGTTTTAAATGTAAACAATTGTCATGATTATTTTCATTCTCAGCAAATTGCATGGATGATCTGCGAATGATGTGGAAAAACAAAAGAATTTGGCTTGCAGATTCACAAGGAGATATGGAATGTTAGGTTTTATAACTAGTGGTACGGAAAATCCAAATGGAAGATGCTGGATCTAAGTAAATTCAAAATTCAACCAGGGTGCTGCTGCATCTTGGATGACAGGACAGAGTTTCAGGAGCAGTTTGTGAGGAGTAAGGCCATAGATTTGGGAAGGAAGTTGGGAGAGATGTATCCATTGCCATCCGAACATCATCACTGTGCTGGAGAAAGCCAGGGTAACTGTTGAGCCCAGAGCCCAAACCCATTTAAGGATCTCATTCCACTGCTGACATTTTGCTAATCACAATGGGACTGGGATGAGGGCTTTGGAAAGAGCAGGCTGGTGCTGCTCTGCCACATTAGGTCCAATGCCCTGTGGACCCGAGGGATTTCCTTTCTGATTGGTTATCCTGTAACCCATATTTGGCATTACCCGGCAGTAAGGGCTGCCCCTGTGGAAATGTTCCTCCACATCTTAGCAACTCATCTTTCCCCTCCCCATTTGTTAATGGCCAGTAAGTCACTTCCTCTCAGAGAGGTGCCCTATGACATTGCTTTGGGCTGAGTGCAGTCCCACTAATAGCCACAATGTGGCGCTGCTGTGAGCAATAAACTGTTGGCACTCCAATTGGATTATCTCCACTTTTGGAAGAATGCCATTTAGTAAATTGACTGCAGGCGATAGAATCATATGAGGGTTCAACTGAAGCAGGGTTGCCTCAACTTTCCTTCCATTCACCTCAACCCCTTACCCACCCCCTGGCCTTCGTCCCTGAAAAAAATCAAAGGTAAGAGATATTTAGATTTCTTGGATATTCTGCTTTGTGCAAGGGTAAGTGTTTGTATGTGGTAATAGTTATTTGTTATAATTAGCCATTTTGTAAATTAGTTTTTAACTGGATTTAACTATGTTTTGTCTTGAAATATACAGTAGTTTCAACTGTTCTCTGCAGTAATGCTTACCACCCCTCACCACCGCACCCCCCCCCCCCCCCCCCCCCCCCCCCCCCCCCCCCCCCCCCCCCCACCGACCTCCCCTCACTGCCACTGCCATTGAAAAACAAATTTCAGCCTACAGTGAACAGATTGGAGCTCCTGTTCAATGGAACAATAGTATTAAGGTGATTAAAGCTTGATTGATTTTCAAAATGGAAAGAAACACACTGTTTCCTTAGCTGAAGAGTCCAGAAGGAGGCGACGTAGATATAAGGTTAAATGTCAGAAATGTAGGTCTGTAGGTGAAATGTTTTTTTTCATAGATTAGTGTGAGACTGCAAAATTAGTGATTGAGGCAGAAATAATGTCAATATTTAAGAACAGGTGGTTGAAAGGAATAGCGATAGGTTGGAATAGATTGTGCACATGAGATGAAGATTTAGAGGGTGATTATTATAATGAATGGGTTAGGCTGAATGCTTTGCTTCCATATTAAAGTTCTACTGTAATCTGTGTAAAGTGATTTTCTCTGCTTCCAACTTTGCAATCCTTCACATAAGAGTGCTTGGTGCTGACATGGTAGTAAGAACATAAGAAATAGGAGCAGGAGTAGTCTTTACGGTGCTGTGGAACTACTTGCTATTCAATAAGATTCTGGCTAATGATTTACATCAACTCCATTTTCCTCAAACTCTTTGATTGTCTGTTCTTTACAGACGGAAAGAGCATGTGCACGTACTACATGTTTTCAACTCAACAAGATAGATGACGGCCATTCCCTGGCTCACTTCTCAGGGTAATGCCTTGACCAGTCAGAGCCAACCTGCTTGGTTTACAATTATAAAGAACCTTATCAGTTATCTGTCAACCATCATTTAACTGGTGCTTTCTCCACTGCAAAATCTTTACCAATCAGAGTCTATTTGCCAGCCAATCACTACACTTCTCTCATTTGACATAATTGTTGCTTTGCCTTTATTTTGTTGTTTCTTGCAAATTGTCTGATGTGTGCAAGATGTAAAGCTTTGGCAAAATGTGACTTTTTTTTCAGAAATACTTCAAGTTCAGTAATACCAAAGGAATAATTGCTAATGAAATAATTTATATATACATTTAGTCCCAGTGAAACTTTCTGTTTATAGACGAAGTGATACGCCAGAGGAAAGAAACGCTGAAAAATGAGAAGGAATTGGAAAAAATCAAAGATAAGAGATATTTAGATTTCTTGGATATTCTGCTTTGTGCAAGGGTAAGTGTTTGTATGTGGTAATAGTTATTTGTTATAATTAGCCATTTTGTAAATTAGTTTTTAACTGGATTTAACTATGTTTTGTCTTGAAATCTACAGTAGTTTCAACTGTTCTCTGCAGTAATGCTGAAGGATATCTCAGACGTACTCCTGCCAATCAATTGATTGATGGATTGATTTATTGTCACATTACTTTTCATTAAGTACAGTGAAAAGCTTTGTTTACGAGCAGTAGAGGCAGATCATAGTAACTGAACACATGTAGATTATAGGGTGAAAAAAATCCTTGGACTGAGGCAAACAGTTTACATTGCACAGGGCATGTACTGGGCATTAGCAAGATCAATGTTATTTGAAGTTAGAGATTCTATTCATCAGTCTAATAACAGCAGGGAATAAGCTGTTTTTGAACCTGCTGGTACGTGTGTTCAAGCTTTGGTATCTCCTGCCTGATGGAAGAGGTGGTACGAGTGTATTACCGGGGTACAATGGGTCTTTGATGATGTTGGCAGCCTTTCCGCAGCAATGGGCCATGTAAATGGAAACCATGGATGGAAGGTTGGCTTCCGTAATGGTCTGGGCTGTGCACACCACCTTCTGTAGTTTCTTACGGTCCTGGGCAGACCAGTTACCACACCAGGCCATTATTTACCCGACAGTATGTTTTCAATGGTGCATCTGTAAATTTTGGTGAAGGATCTTGTGGACATGCCAAATTTCCTGAGCTGCCTGAGGAAAAAGTGGTTGTTGTGCCTTCTTGACCGTTGTATCCATGTGGGAAGTCCAGGACAGGTTGTCCATTATTGTCACTCCGAGGAACTTGATGCTGTCCATCCTCTCAACCTCAGCTCCGTTGATGTAGATGGGAGCATGTTCTCCTCCTTTCTTTCTGAAGTCAATGATTAGTTGTTTAGTTTTGCTGAAATTGAGAGAGAGGTTGTTCTCTTGCACCATGTCACCAAGCCATCTATCTCCCTTTTGTATTTTGATTCATCGTTGTTAGGTATCTGTCCCCCTACGGTGGTGTTGTAAGCGAACTTGTATATGGTGTTCATTCGGAATTTGGCAACACAGTCGTGCGTATATAGGGAGTACAGTAGGAGGCTGAGAACGCATCCTTGGAGGGCTCCAGTGTTGAGTGTTATTGTGGAGGAGGTGCAGTTACTTATATTCACTGATTGCGGTCTGTGGGTCGGAAAGCTGAGGATCCAGTTGCAGAGGGTTGAGCTGAGACCAAAGTAACAGAGTTTTGAGATCAGTCTGAAGGAAATAATGGTGTTGAAGGTGGAGGTGTAGTCGATGAGTAGGAGGGTGACGTAGGTATCCTTGTCCAGGTGTTCCAGGGATGAGTGCAGGGCTGGGGATATGGCGTTCTCTGTGGACCTGTTACGTTGGTAGGCAAACTGTAAAGGATCGAGGCAGGCTGGGAAACTGGAGTTGATGTGGGCCACTCAAAGCACTTCATGATTATTGAAGCCAGAGCCAGTGGGCGGTACTCATTAAGGCACATTGCATGTGTTTTCTTAGGTACGGGATGATGGTGGTCTTCTTGAAGCAGGCAGGGACTTTCGCTTGTGGGAGGGAGAGGGTGAAGATGTCAGTGAATACCTCCACTAGTTGGTCCACACAGGATCTGAGTGCTTGGCCGGGGACACTGTCCGGGCCCATCGTTTTCTTTGGGTTGACTCCCAGGAAAACCGATCTGACGTCTATAGCAGTGCCCGAGGGAACAGGTGTGCCCAGGGCTGTTGGGGCAGATGACACTGCACCGCTGGCATTCTGCTCGAACTGAGCATGGAAAGCATTGAGCACGTCGAAGAAGGATGTGTCTTTGTCCACTATCTTGCTCTGCTTCATTCTGTACCCCATATTTCCACTGCCGACAGGAGTCTATATGGTTGATTTGGGCCTCTAACTTGGTCCAGTACTGCCTCTTGGCATCCCTGGTGGCTTCGTGGAGGTCATATCTGGATTTTCTGTATAAATCTGGGTCATCCGACTTGAATGCTGCACGTCTGGTCTTCAGTAGGGAGTGGACTTCCTGGTTCATCCAAGGTTTTCAGTTGGGGAACACTTGGATTGACTTCTTTGGTATACAGTCTTCCCTGAATTTGCTAATGAAGCCTGTGATGGTACTGGCAGACATGTCTAGGTCACCTGCTGAGTACATAAATATGATCCAGTCCACCGATCCAGTCCCAGAGATAGTCTTCCACTGCCTCAGACCAGCATCATGCATTTTTTTTGTGTCCTAGCACGTGATCCAATTTGAAACTGGGTTCAGTGTACTTGGAGACATGTTTCAGAGCAGCACAGTGAACAAATTTGTAGTTTGATGTGAGACCTTGATCTTCAGCAAAGTCTACAAGCAGAGGTTGGCGGCTGGTAACTCACCATCTCTCCTGGGCCTGCAGCTGCCTCTAAACAGTAACCAAAGAAACTCCCAGAAAGAAACAAGAGTTCACATATAGTCAGACCAGGGCAATCAATTTTTAGCATCAGCTTGTTTATTCATAATGGGCTGACAGAAACCATAGAAAGAACCCTCAACATCCAGTCCTTCAAATAATGCACCCACAAAGGAGTAAAACATGTACTTGTTTATGTCTTGCAACAGGTATTTACCTCACTGTTAGTATTAGCACTGTTTTCACAAAATGTTCAGTTCATCAACCTTAAACTTTACCCTCATGGAGGTGGATATTAAAGTCATCTGAGCTGGTATAATTTGGTTCAGGAGCCAGGAATGTTGGAATTTCTCTATTTTCATCAGCTCCAAATTGGATTACCACAGCATACTCTCTACCTGGCTTTTCAGCAGTTCAGTTTAATGAGCTATGGTGCAATTTCATCTTTTTTTATGATTGAATTGTGCTACGATTAATCAGCTACATGTCATTTTCAGGTTAACAAACTGCCACCAATGAGGTGCCACAGGCATTAGTGCTGAGGGCTTCAAAATTTTATACGAATGTCTTCGGAAAAGGGGCCAGATGTATTATAACTAATTTTGTTGATGACAGCAAGAAAGGTAACAAAATAAATTGTGAGAAGGGCATGAAGAGTCTACAAAGGGAATTAGATAGGTGACATGAACATGGGAGAAAATGACAGTGGGAGTTTGGTGTGGGAAAACGTGAACTTATCCACCTTAACAGCAAAAACAAATTGAAAAGCGGTAAGTTATTAAATAGCGAAATATTGTAAAACTTTGTGGTGCAAATGGACCCATATATCCTTGTACATGAGTCACAAAAATGTTAGTATGCAGGTACAACAAGTGAGTAGGAAGCCATTTATTCCATTGGTGAAAAGAGAATCTCGGCACATATCACTAGAGTCATACAGAGCATTAATGAGACAATTCATGCAGTACTCCACACAGTTTTAGTCTGTTTACATGAGAAAGGGTTTAATAGCATTAGAAACAGTTCTAAGAAGTTTCATCTGACTGATTCATGGGATGAAGACCATAAGATATAGGAGCAGAATTAGACCATTCAACCCATCAATTTTGCTCAGCCATTTGATCATTACTGATGTGACACTATTCTTCTGCCTTCACCCTATAGCCCTTGATCCCCTTACTAATGAAGAATCTACCTATCTCTGTCTCAGATACACTCAATTACTTGGCCTCCATAACCTTCTGCGGCAATGAGTTCCACAGACTAACCACCTTCTTGCTGAAGAAATTCCTCCTCGTCACAGTTCTAAAGGATCGTTCTTTCAGAGGTTGTCTAAGGCTGTGCTCTTTGGGTCCCAGTCTCTCCTACAAATGGAAACATCTTCTCCGCATCCACTCTATCCAGGCCTGTCAATATTTCTCTAAGTTTCAATTAGATCCCTCTCGTCTTTCTAAACTGCATTGAGTACAGACCCACAGTCCTCAATTGTTTCTCATTTGACAAGCACTTCATCCTCGGGATCATTCTTGTAAACCTCCTCTGGATCCCCTTCCAACACCAATATGTCGTTCCTTAGATAAGGGACCCAAAACTACTCACAATATTCCAAATGCAGTCTGACCAAAGCTTTATACAGCCTCAGCAGTACATCTCTGTTCTCGTATTCTAGCCCTCTTGAATGCTAATATTGCATTTGCCTTCCTAACTGTCAGCTAAACCTGCATGTTAATGTTAAGAGAATCCTGAACTAGGAGTCCCATTGCCTTTTTATTACCTTTTATATATTTAAAAATAATTCTTGCAATCTTGTTTTATAGCTAGCTTGCCCTCATATTTCATCTTCTCCACCCTTTTTATTTCAGTTATCATCTGCTTTTTTTTTAAAGGCTTCCCAATCCTCTGACTTCCCACTAATCTTCTCTGTTCACCATATTTTATGCTTTTTGTTTTGCTTTTATGCTGTCCCTGACTTCCTAACTATCAGCCATGGTTACCTTCTTCTGCCCTTAGTATGTTTCTCCTTCCTTGGGACTTCTGTTGTACCTTCCAAACTACCCATTGCTGCTCAACCCTCTTCCCTGCTAGGCTCCCCTTCCAATCAACTCTGGCCAGCTCCTCCCTCATGTCTTTGTATTCTCAATCATAATATCGTAACATCTGATTCCAGCTTCTCCCTCTCAAACTGCAGAGTAAATTCTATCATAGTATGGTCACTGCTCCCTAGGAATTCCTGCACCTTAAGCTTCCTCATCAAGTCTGCCTGATTACACATCACCAAATCCAGAATTGTATGTTGCCTTGTGGGCTCTACCACAAGCTGTTCCAAAAAAAACCATCTCATAGACATTCCACAAATTCCATTTTTTAATATCCGCTACCAATCTGATTTTTCCAGTCCACCTGCGATTTGAAATCCCCCATGATTACTGTAATAGTGCTTTTCTTGCATGCCTTTTCTATCTCCTGATTTATTTTCAGCCCCACATCCTGACCACTGCTAGGAGGCCTGTCCTTAACTCCCATCAGGGTCTTTTTTTCTCCCTTTGTGGTTCCTCAACTCTATCCACGCAGATCCTATGCCTTCCAATCTAT